ATAATCGAAAGAGTGCCGAAACAGTGTCGAGACAGTGTCCGGCGAGTGCCACCCAGGGCCCGACACGTGAAAACTCTAGAGGTTCGGTATTTGTTCTGGTGGTCGAAATTCTTTCTTGCGATCAAGGCCAAATTAGGTTGGAACATCATCAAACTTGACATTGTCCACTCCACCGATCGCGCAAACATCCCACCCACCCACCTGCAACTTGGTTTGCAAACCCAATGCGGCGGCGATTGCGATGAGTGCTGGGCGCTGGTTGGTGCATCTCTGCGGCCCCGACAGCCCGCGCATGCATGCGCGCAACGGCCAACTATTTGTTGTCCCGACCGACGCAGCCGCGGCGGCGTTGACCACTGGGCACATCCCAGCGGGCACTTCAATGCGAGTCGGCGACTTGGGCGGGCGCGGCACCATGGCAACGTCGACAACCGAAAACACGGTGATGATTGTAGCGATGCTGCTGGTGCCGATTCTGACAACGACGACGGCATGGCCAGTGACGGCGCAGATGCTGATGACGCCAGCGACGATGACGGCGTCCTCGCGTCGGCGATGAAGGTTTTGGAAAAAGTTCGACGTGCGCGCGCGACCGACGCGCGAGAGTGACCCGCATCGTATTACTTGACACGCATCGTGCCCCCCAGCACGTTCGCAAAACCGTGCGAATGATGTCGGCATGCGGCGCCAGAGACCAATTTAGCAAGATTCCTCGATACCCGGAAGAAACAATCCGACAAATTGTCGGAAGAAGTCGTAAGAGCGCGAACGCACGCTTGTTTGACCACTGATGTTGCGGAACCGTGTGCTTTTGTATGTGTTTTGGACGCTCAGTTTTAAAACCGCTACGAATCCGAAAATGTTCGACGGATTTCGGCATGCGCGCGCGACGACGCGCGCGCACTTCGTCCCGCTTTTTGCTGAGAAGAAAACACTCGGGACGGCACGCGCGCAAGGGCTTTCGAACGATTTCGGCACGCGCGCGCAAAACCCGAGTGGTAGCATGTAACGAAAATGTTGCAAAACCAACGGGTGTCTTCAAGAATTCGGTAGATCGTGCGGGGATTGGTTTTGGACATCCGTGTTGCGAAACCCTGTGTTGTTTAAATGTTGTTGGGGTACTCGGTTTTGAAATCCCTTTCGGAGCCCAATGTTTTCTAAAGATTTTGGCACGCGCGCGCGACAACGCGCGCGTGCACTTTGCTTGATTCTGCGGCGAGGGATTCCTGAAAACGACGTTTCGGTAAACGAGTGCGCGCGCATAGTATTTGCTGTAGAGGATGGCGGGGGCCCGTACCGGCCCCCCTGGGATGGTGTAGATTCATATGTAGGATGGGCGATGGGACAGAATCGTATGTAAATTGCAATGCGCAAATGGAATGATATCATCCTGGGGGGTAGACTCGATTGAAATTTGAAAACGAGCCGACACATCCCACGCTCTTGCGAACATCCCGCCCGCCCACCCGCAATGCGGTTTCCAAAACCCACGCGGCGGCGATTGCGATGAGTGCGTGGCGTTGGCTGGTGCTTCTTTGGGGCCGCACCAACCCAAGCGCGCGCGTGCAACGGCCAGCTAGTTTGGAGCGACCGACGCGGCCGCGGTGGCGCTGACCGCTGGGCACATCCCAGCAGGAACTTCGGTGCGAGTCGGCCACTTGGGCGGGCGCGGTATCATGGCAACGTTGACAACGGTGGACACAATGATGATAGTAGCGATGCTGGCGACGGCGCTGACAACGACGACGGCGTGGCCACTGCTGGCGCCGATGCTGATCACGCTGACGACGATGACGGCGTCCTCGCGTCGGCGATGAAGGTTTTGGAAAAAGTTCGCCGTGCGAGCGCGGCCGACGCGCGACAGTGACCCGCATCGTATTACTTGACACGCATCGTGCCCCCCCAACACGAGCGCAAAGGCGTGCGAATGATTTTGGCATGCGGCGACAGGGGCCCATTTGGCAAGATTCCATGCGCATTACTTACACACATATGCTGTGAAAACACTACGGTTTCCTGAAGAAGTCGCAAGAGCGCGAGCGCGCATTTGTTTGAACACTGATGTTGCGAAACCAAGTGTCTTATGTGTTGTTTGGGACACTCAATTTTGGCATCGTTACGAAGCCGGGAACTCTTCACGGATTCTGGCATGAGCGCGCGACGACGCGCGCGCGTGCACTTCTTCTTTTGGTGCGAAGGATTCTCCCGACGGCACGCGCGCAAGGGCATCCGAATGATTTCGGCTTGCGCGCCGAAGCCCTTTTGGTAGCATGTTACGGAAATGTTGAAAACCATATGGTTTTTTTCGAGAATTCGCAAGAGCGCGCGCGCAAGCATTTTTAGAAAGCAGTGTTGCGAAACCCTGTGGTTGTTACATTTGATTTGGACGCTCGATTTTGAACTCCCTACGAAACCAACAGGTTTTTTCCCCGGAATTGGGCGCACGCGGGCGACGACGCGCGCGTGCGCACTTCGTCTCATTTGTTTCGCTTGGTTCTTGAAAACGGATGATTTCCAAAACAGGAGAACCTTTCCTGTGCAGTCTGTGCGAGGCGGCGACGGGGCGGCGACGGCTGGGATGGGTATCCCGCGACGCACTCTTAGGTGGAGGTCGCCCGACACCATCACTTGCTCGCCGTTTTCAGGCTTCGGGGGCCCTCCCTCCACGGGCACCAGCACCGTCAAGAGACGGCCCGGGCTGAAGCATCAGTCCCAGAGGGGAGCCGCGGGGTCCAAAACTTACGTCAGGCAGGTCCCCCTACAGGCGGATTCTAGACGAAGCATATAAAACAAATACTATACAAATGCCCGATCCATGCTAAAACACATAGTCGAAGAGTCGTCCCCAGACTATGTTTTGATGATCTTTGAATTTCCTCCTGTAGAGGGACATGTCCGACTTAATCCAAGACCCCCTGCCCTCAATACTTATGTAGATCCCATTGTGCTTAGGGACTACATCCCAGAAATGATTTCGAGCACCCAGGAAAGTACCGAAACAATATCGAACGAGTATGGCTTCCCAGGGCCTACCACGTGAAAACCCTCCAGTCTCGGTACTTTCTTGATACTCGAAATTCTTCTGAGTGGTCGAACCTAAAGTAGGTTTGGAACATCATACCTCAAGACCCGCTTCCTTCCAACTCGCCGCCGCCGTCGTCGTCAGTGGGCCTCTTCGGGGCCGGGCAGTTCTTAGGATGCGTGGGGCCAGCTTGTCGCCTGGAGTCGCCCCTTCACGGCCGCGGGGCCTGTCGAAGGGCCTTTTGGAGCCTCCTCCTATGGTTTTCCTCCTCCTCTCTCCAGCTCCTCCCCTTTTCTCCTCCTCCTCCTCCAGCTCCTCCCCCTCCTCCTCCTCCTCCTCCTCCTCCTCCTCTTCCTCCTCCTCCTCCTCCTCCTCCTCCTCCTCCTCCTCCCACTCCTCCTCCCCCTTCTCCTCGGGGAAAAACCTTCAGCCTCCCTGAATATCGGCTCTGAGTCGGATCGACCAGGCCAAGGCCGATGTTGAATCGAGTCGGTCGGATCGAAATGGACCCCAGCAGGAGGTACGTCAAGTTCGTGTCGTGACGCTCCAGGCGTTGGCTTCTGACACCGCGTGGGTCGTTCAACCTCGAACGATCGGCGGCTTTCAATCGCCAGATCTTTGACGGATTGGCCGATTCTGGACATTGCTTTTGTATAACGTCACGTTTCTTGTCGACGCCCTCTGGGAATGCATAGGAAGAGCTACGGACAGCTAGGACTAGCATAGAGGGAAGATCTGCCAGGGATCACTATTCAGGAATTGCGTAGCGGCTTGCTGAAAATAGCCACGGAAACGGACGTAGCTTCTTCGCGCGCCACACTATGCCCGCAGTTGGACTGGGTATGCGGTATACCACAATGCCTGTGTACACACAACGCATGTGTACACTCCAATGCCTGCGTGCACCACAGCGGCCTGGAGAATCGCAGTTCACAACGCCTGTGCACGCTACAATGCCTCTGTACACCACAGTGCCTCTCTACACCACAGAGCTAGGGCACAACACCGCAGTGCCTCTGAACACCGCAGGGCCTGTGCACAACAATGCTTGTGCACAAGACAACGCTTGTGTGTTCCACAGTGCGTGTTTACAACACAGCGCCTGTGGTACACCACAGTGCCTGTGTACAGCACGATGCTTGTGTATACAGAAGATTTGCCTGCATAAATCACGGAGCAAATGTGAACCATCATTCCTGCAACAAAAACAACAACAACCGATGTGTGCACGACAACGCACGTGTACACCACAATGCTTGTGTACACTACGGCAACCACTTGTACCACAACGCCTGTGTTCGCCAGTGTCTGTGCACACCACATCACCCGTGTGCACCACACCCGCTCCTTCAAACCTATGTGTGTATCACACAGCCTGTAAAACACAGTGCTTATGCACACCCGTACACCACAATGGTGCTTGCGCGTGCAACAACTGCTGCAACAACATTAGTGGGCATCACGACGCGCGCGTGTACATCACAGCGACCGTTTACACCACAGGGCATGTGTGAAAAACAATGCGTGCGTACAACATAACACCAAACTCATTGTCCACACCGTGCGCTGCATCAGCATACGTGCGCACCACAGCTTCTGTGTACATTACATCAGGCGTGTGCACCACAGCGCTTGTATTTACCACATTGGCTGTGTACTTACGGCGCTTGTCTACACCACAACGCCTCAATGCCTGTGCACACCACACTGCCTGTGCACACGCTGCATATGTGCATCTCCATAAGCCTCCAGAAGATGTCACTCAGTGTCGTCTTTATCGTCGCAGGCTGCGCACGACCCCGACATTACAGGACCCCTTCCCCCACACCCTCGCGGGCGCACACCAGCCCCTTTCCTCCCCGGCAATGCTCGCTATTCCGCGGGGCCACGGACAGCGTTCAACTATGAGGCCCGCGGCGGGGTCGCCGTCACGACGCCAACCTGCCGCAGCTGAGGACCCCCTCCAGCCGCGGGCCGCCTGACCGCCGCGCCCCTCCAGCCGCGTCGGCGCCGCCAGTGGGGCCGCTGGGAGCGCCACGGCCGCCGCCGCCGCCGCCTTGCAGCCGGCGGCAAGGGTTAATCAGGGACGCCGCCATCACGAGAGTGGCATGACAGGGCGGCCCAACCAGGCAGCTGGCCGAGCTAGGCCTTGGGCGGGGAACAAGTCGCACGAAGTACGATCTAGAATATCCCCGCCGAGATCTGACAAAAAATGGGTTCCCGGTGGCGTGGCGGCCTGGGGCTCCGCTGATCGACCTGCCCCCCCCCTGTGTTGGGATCTACGAGCCTACGAGCTGTTCCCCTCGGGGTCGCGTGGCCCCGAGAGGTGGGCTGGCGGGGCTGAGATACGACGTCGAATGACAGAAACATGTGCACCAACACAGACTTTCCAAGGTTGGAGCAGATTTCTTTGTGTGGCGCTGGACCACCCTCCGTGACGAGCGAATCGGTCCACGGGCGGCGCTGGACGCGCCGCACGGGGGGTCAAGCGCGGATGCAAGAGATCAGCGTGGACTTCCGTATGCCAACTGTTCCTCTCCGAACACCATGGCCCAATGGGGCTGACGGGGGCCCTGACATGCTATGTCCTGATGCTTTCAGCACGCGGTTCTCAAACATCCCGACCATCGCCCCAGGGCCAACTTCTCGTCCCGAGTCGCCTTTTGACGGTCCTGGGGCCTGGCGAAAGCCCCCGTATACCGAAAACCCCCAAGAACCTTCCGTCATCACTTTTTAAAGACGTGAGCATGTCTGGGGATCGGTTCTGTGCTCGTGTCGTCTTCCTTCGTCGTCTAATTTTTTTGGGGGCCGGGGCGAGGTTACTCCTGAACCGACGCCAGGCGCCCCCATGGCACGCTCTTGTGTGTGCCGCTGGAGAAGGAGGCGAACCGACTGCGACGCTTAGGTCGGGCCTGTCCCCCTACAGGGGGATCTTAAAAATACCCCCCCGAAATACTCACAAAATGGTCAAACATAGTCCACAAATCGTCCCCAGACAATGTTTTGACTATTTCTGAATAATCCCCCTGTAGAGGGACAGGTCCGAATTAATGCGACGCAGCCGAATTGACCGAACCGCGAACACCCCTGCGAGCCGCCCCTCCCTGCCCCCCGACGGCGGCGACCTCCCGAGGTGCCTTGCAGGAAGCCTCTGGGATGGAGAGCCAAAGAAGGCCAGGAACAAGTCCAGGATGCGGATGCAAATGGCGCGCGGGCCATGGCTCTTGCACAAAAGGAAGGGGGCCTGAGGCGGAGGAGAAAGAGGAGGAGAAAGAGGAGGGGGGGAGGGAGGGAGCACTCTTTCGAGGTTATGCGCGGACTTCTCGGATCGGTGTTAGGTCTGGCGTGTCCCCCTACAGGCGGATTGGATTCTGGACGGAAGCGAAAACATGTTGGAAACATGCTCAACATATGATCCAAAATGCTGGAAAAAATCGTCACCAGACTATGTTTGGTGGCTTTCGCCCCAAGACATCGCCGGCCAGACGTGCGATTAGTGTTTGCCCTGCGTACGCACAAGGGCGCAAACCCATTGGAGAGATGGAGGAAGATTTTCTGGACCATTTTTGGGTATTCCTCCTGCAGAGGGACGTGCCCAACTTAAGATCAGTGCCGGACCCCCTCCCTTCGGGTCGGGCGAAAGGGGGGGATAGCAAAGGGGGGGTTTGAGAATCAGCTCGCGTAGCTGATTTTCCCGGCGCCTCCCGGCGCCGGAGGCGGCTATGTATCGAGGAATGAGCCCCTCGGTGAGGCCGAAACCAGCTGCATGCAGCAAATTTCGTAACCCCCCCTTTCCCAATCCCCCCCTTTCGCCCGACCCGATCCCTGGCGCGCGGCGCGCACTGGCGCGCGGCGCCGGGGACGCAGCCGGGGGGGGCGCCCGGCCCCGCCCCATGGAGACCTCCGCGCGGACCTCCGACCGTGAAGACTTCCCACCAGGAGGAGGCGCAGAGAGGGCCAGGGGCGTCCGAGAGCCTCGAAGAGGAGGGGGAGGGGGAGGGGGAGGGGGAGAAGGAGGAGGAGGAGGAGGAGGAGGAGGAGGAGGAGGAGAAGGAGAAGGAGGAGCGACTTTGGGTACTCCCACGGGCAGATCACGCACGATCGAGTTTCAGTTAAGCGGAGATCCCCAGGAAGGTCCCACGTGTGCTGCAAATGCTGCCCCGCTGCTCTCTTGGAGCCTCGCCCCCATATGGGCGTTGGGCGCCACAAGCCCAGATCAAGAAGAACTCCTGCCTTTTACTGCATCACTGGTTTCGATTGGGGGCAGGCCACGGGACCAGCTGGAGCCGTTCTGTGTACCCCTCCGTCGCCTCGGCTTGGCGGCTCGAGGGGTCCGAGATTGGGTGACGGATGGAGTAGATCGCTGCTCATGCGGTGGGTACTGTTGCGGGGGTTGCGCCACGCAACATGCCTTTTTTGCTGGACGCTGCGTCCTGAGTCCGCTCTCAAAGTGGTGCGGCGTCTCGGCTGGAACTCCCAAGCACATATTCGTTTTGGCGCGATGGCAAATCAGGTCACACGCCGCGCGCCATTTGGACCTCCAGGCGTTTATCCAGGAAGGTTTGGAAGGGAGCCATAAGAAACCTGGTTTCACCAGGGGACTCCTCCCCAGCCCTGAGCGGATTTGGCCGACCCCCGTGCTGGTAGCAGGGCCGCAAGGTTCAAGTGGATGGTTTCCCCCCCAGGGACCTCGACACCGGTAAGATCCGCATTGATGGCTGGACAGGTGTTCTCTCGTGCGGGTTGGGTGGCCTGCGCCATGGACACGGGGGGAACGCTGTTGGATCCATCCATGGCCCCCTCCCCCGCCCCCTCCAGCGGGCTGGGGGGAGGTCCACGCGCGTCTGATGAGCCTGACACAGCCGGGCCCTGGAGAAACAGAGCTCGTGTCAGACTGCCAGATGGTCCTGGACATCCGGGCCAAGGGCCCCGACCAGGACCTAACCAATGTTGCGTTCAGCGAGCTGTGATGTGACATATCCGCCAGGACCAAGGATGTAGGGTTGCACAATATCCGCCTCACCATGATCCAAGCTCCGTGCCAGGTTCCGTGCCCTGGATCGGGATGTAGCCTTCAGGGACTGGGCGGGGGACACGGACGCCGATCGCCTGGCCAGGCTCGGGGTGCAGGTGCACCCCCCACCATCCCTGAAGCAGAGTTATGCCGAACAGGTCAAGCGCGTCAACAAAAGTGCCAGGCTCATTCTCGACAACATGTCCCATCTGTCCAAGCTCGGTATCCGATGCGTTGCGAGAATCCAAGGTCAGGTGCGAAAGAAGCCGAACGGTCACGAACTCGTGCCAGAATCGCTCGGCCACCAGCTCCTGAGAGTTGGCCGTGCGGGCTAGAAGTTTGCGTGCGTTCGGTGCGGGGAGACGGGCATTCGAACTGGCATTTGTAAGTTCCCCTGCAGATGGATTCCCAAGATTGCACCCCCTTGCCAGCCAGACCGACCCACTCGCTTTTGTTTCGGGGGGGGGAAGGGGAACGTCGTGTGGTTTGGTGCCCGCGGTGTGGTGTTTTCGGGGCCCGACGAAGCCAGTACCTCACGGACCCCTGCCAAGGAGGACCCCGAAACAAAGACGCCAAGGGGGGTCTAGATATACTCCGAGCTGGCACAGACCCATCGTCGAAGGTTCCTTTCGGGGTGAGTGTGGTCGTGTCTCGGCTTTTGTCGTCGCCGCCGTTGCTGTCGTCCGCTGGACGGGATGAACTGCGATGACTTCGACAAGGCCGAGGGCTGTTTGTCTCTTCATATCTTTGCTGGCCAGATGTTGCTTCCCTCGGGTAGTGGGATCTGATCATGATCGCATATGATGTCGTATCAGGATTGAGCGGGAAAGGGGGGAGTAGGAGGAGGAGGAGGAGAAGGAGAAGGAGGAGGAGGAGGAGGAGGATCGAGAGGGAGTGGAGACAGGCGGGAGCTGGCTGCAAAAAGGATTGAGGGGAGGAGGATGGAGAAGATCAAGAGGAGGGGTGTTAATGAATGCGCCAACAATCTAACAACATATCGAGTGCTGTGGGGACTTTCCGCGGACAAAGCCTTCAACGGCAGGGCTGGCTGCCTCTATTCTCTGGAGGTGTGAGTGGCTTGAGTTCCTTAAACCATGCGCTAGCGAATGCGCGGCCAAGCTGAGGCCCCAGTGTCCACATCCCAAGCTGAAGCTCCAAGAACACGACGAAGGGTACGCATCCCTGCGAAACGCAAGGATTGGCATTCAGATTGAGCCAGGATGCCAAACGGGAGTCTGAGTTTTCTCTGGCGACCGCGCCCAGACAACCAGCAGTGGATATCTGCCGACCCTGTCGGCGTGCGTGAGACGCTGTTCCGTTTGCTCTGCTCTCGTCGTCGTCGTCGCCGTCACCGTCGCCGCTGTCCGCCCCTTTCCTTACGCCCGTCACAGAGTTCTCCTGCGCCCGACGCAGCTTTCCCCCTCCTTGCCCTGAGCCCTCCTCCTCGAGCTCGCCAGCCAAAACGAAAATAAGCAAGGTCGATATTGAGGCGAAGGGAAGCCAACGAATCGGGGGGAAGCCTGGAAGGGGGGTCCCACGGGGGGGTTCTGGGTGGTGTCCCGGTCAGGATACCATCCTCTTCCGTGGGGTCCCAGGGCCCCCCAAAGAACCCAAGACGGCCTGAGAGCGCCCCAAGAGGCCCCCGAGGTGGTCTAAAAGGGCCCCGAATCGCCGAACGATCGGTCCAAGACGCAAGAAATTCCCTACTGATGGCACAAGAGGCTGCCACTCCCGATGAGGCTCGATGCGGAGCCCGATTCTCTCCACGCCGACGTGGGCGATGCATCGCCGACGCATCGCGGACACATCGGCGATGCGCCGCGATCTTCCAACCCGACCTGCTCGGATCTTAGCTGCCCCGATGCGCAACACGCAACACGTAGAGCATTGGCATGGAGCTCAAAACGTAGACTGCAAACGTAGGTCTTAGGCGATACCTTCGCCAAAACGTGGGCCAACACGCTGAACCAACACCAGACGCATTGACACGGACGTTTTTCGGGGGCGCGCAAACATGGATTAGCGATCCATGGATTTGGCACGCGGTCGCCAAACCCATGGATCGGGGGAGGTGCCCCCTCCCCAAACTGCGGCCGGTGCCGCCTCGTTCGGCGGCG